GCATGAGCGAGAGTTATATATGTTGAGATAGTAGCAATGTAAGTGGTAGTTAAGTTTTAGGTAGGGCCTAGGCTTAGTAGCCTAGGCCAAGTGAAAGTCGAGAAGGTTGTGGCAAGGGAGGAGGTCGAGAATGATGCAATATGAGAAACAAGTACAAGTTATAGTTCAGGAAGGGTGCACCACCAAGCAAGAACAAATGTATGACTACACTACAGCTAGAACTAGATGCAGTTACATATAATTCTGACATCCCCCCGTAACTGCATGCTGGAATAGCTAAGTGAAAGACACAACCTGCAGGGGTACACCACAGACAGAGAAAACAGCAACAACAGGCAAGGCGGCAGAACAGGTTCGGCAGCAAAGGGGCAGCCGACAGTAAGGCACTTCTGCCACCCCCTTACTCTCTTCCCCCCCCGACCACAGGAGGGGCAGCAGGGAGAGAGAGGAGGCGGGCTGGCTCTGGTTGGTCACCCCCTCCATCCCCTCACCCTCCCCCTCCCCCTCCCCCCCACACTGCTGCAGGAGCAGCAGAGGGGGGAAGAGAGGAGAGGTGGAGGGACGGCTGCTGGTTGGTCTCACACCCGCCACCCCAGTGCCACTCAACCGGATCCACCACACCCTCACACCCTCCCCCCCAGCGGCAGCTGCAACAGTGGGAACGAAAGGAGGAGGAGGGGAAGGGAAGCACACCACCCATCACCCCCACATCCGCCACCCCCATACCCTCCCCCCCACGGCTGCAGGGAGACGAAGGAGGAGGGGGTGGGCGGGGAGAAAGCCGCAGAGCGGCTACAGAGGGTTGGCGCGGGTAGGTCACGGGCGGCTGCAGTGAGTGCAGGCGCGGGGTGAGGCAGAGGCGGCTGCACCGAGTGCAGGAGCGGGGGCGGCTTCTCCAAGGGCAGGCGCCGGGTGGTGCAGGGGCGGCTGCAGCGAGTGCAGGCGCGGGTGAGGCAGGGGCACCGCCGAGTGCGCCAGGGGCGGGTACGCGGCGGCTCAGGACACCGTCGCAGGCGCCAGGGGCGGTTCCGCGGCGGCTCAGGGCACCGTCGCGCACCACGGGGCACGTGACGGGCAGTTTAGGGCACCTTCGCGTGCCACGGGGCGCACGACGGGCAGGGCACCGTCGCGTGCCACGGGGCGCATGACGGGCAGGGCACCGTCGCGTGCCACGGGGCGCACGACGGGCAGGTTTAGGGCACCGTCGCGTGCCACGGGGCGCACGACGGGCAGGGCACCGTCGCGTGCCACGGGGCGCACGACGGGCAGGGCACCGTCGCGTGCCACGGGGCCTGCGACGGGCAGAAAAGATGTCACTCGCCACCCGGGGGCGGGACAGGACGAAAATCGCCACGCGCCCGAGGCGCGCGACCGGAAAAACAGCAGCGGAAGCATGAGGCGGTCCCAAAGGCCTGGACTTAACAGTCTCTGATTCCATGTTGAGATAGTAGCAATGTAAGTGGTAGTTAAGTTTTAGGTAGGGCTTAGGCTTAGTAGCCTAGGCCAAGTGGAAGTCGAGAAGGTTGTGGCAAGGGAGGAGGTCGAGAATGATGCAATATGAGAAACAAGTACAAGTTATAGTTCAGGAAGGGTGCACCACCAAGCAAGAACAAATGTATGACTACACTACAGCTAGAACTAGATGCAGTTATATATAATTCTGACAATATAGCAAAGGCCATAGTGGTAACGGTAACGAACTGTGGGAGATGCGCGACGCGCCTGTAACTGAGGTTGGGACTAAGGTCGGGAAGTGTCAAAGCGGAGGCCCGGAGCGCGGGTTACCAGCCGAGCCATGAGGTTGGGTTACGACGGGCGAGGTGGCAGGAAAATGGTCGAGGCGAGTGTCGCGAGTGGTAACGGTGCATAGTGTGGCGAGAATAATAATGTACGCGCTAAGCAAGGATGCGGCGTAAGGAAATAAAAATTTCCTTACAGTGTCGATAGTAGTTCGTCTACCCCCTAGGATGTTCCTCAGTACATGTTATGTTGAACTATATGACATAGTTTGACAATTTCATTGCCTGGGGAAATTAAATTGAGTGATTATGAGCAACCCCATATATGTCACCTACATTATATATACTGTGGAGAGTCACTCTACACCTGGAGATGGACTACGGGAAAGGCACGGGTTCTAGGAGTGATCGTAGCGTTTTTTAGTTGCTAGCTCGTGTTCTCTCTACACACACATTCACAGGGAGAATCGACATGAATTTCAGTAGCAAAACTTGCATTACATAAATGTAGCAATAGCAATGGCAACAATAACTACATCAGAGCCTAGCAACCTAGCAATCAAGCTGGTCGACCTGTCAGAATGTTATCTTATGCTCTAGCCTGTAGTGGGGTGCTCTATAGCGAGCACAACCCTTCTAGGGTTTGCTATTTGTATCCTCATTCTTGCTAGTGCAGTCCTCTTCTCTCTTCTAACTTTCACATGCTATCAGAGCAGGTCGATCCCCTTGGATCGATCCTGTGGGTGGGCTTACCACCTCCTTGCTTCCGCTGCAACTACTACCACTACTCTCTGAGCCGCACGCCCCGTGGCGTGCGGCAGTTTTTCTTCCCGCCGTGCGCCCCGAGGCGCGCGGCGGTTTTCTGCCCGCCGTGCGCCCCGAGGCGCGCGGCGGTTCTCTGCCCGCTGTGCGCCCCGAGGCGCACGGCGGGCTTCTGCCCCGTCGTTCGGCGCGTCGCCCTCTGGAGGCGCCGCGACGGGCAACGGGGACCCGCGCATCGCCCCCCGTCGCCCGTCGTGGCCTGCGCGCGGCCCGTACGGGTTGCGCCAGGCCCGCGCGCGGCCCGTACGGGCTGCGCCAGGCCCGTGCGCGGCCCGTACGGGCTGCGCCAGGCCCGCGCGCGACCCGTACGGGCGGCGCCAGGCCCGCGCGCGGCTCGTACGGACGGAGCCAGGCCCGCGCGCGGCTCAGGCCGCCTGCGCGCGGCTCGGGCGTCTGTACCAGTCCCGTGGTGGGCCCGTTCCTCGCTGCCCCTGCCCTCCCCGCTGTCCCCAAGTGCTTCTACTGGCGCCCCACCCCTCCTACTCCCCATTCTCCTGAATTAGGGTTTGGGGGTGAGGGGTATGGGGGTGACTTCACTCTGTACCGTTCCCTGCTCCTCCTCCTCCTCCGTCTCCTTGTGCTGCAGCTACCGCTGAGGGGGGGTGGACGTGTTGGAGCCGGTGGAGTGGCACTAAGGGGGGGTGAAGGGGGAGTGGAGCTAGCGGTGTAGCAGCGGGTGTGTGCCAGGGGGAGTGGGATAGTTTGGGGGAAGCTGAATGGAGGTTGCCGTCGTGTCGCCAGCAGCACCTGTAGTCCGGGGAGTTGCTCCGGTAGCCCAGTCGTAGCCAGCTGAGCCAGCCGCCCGTGGGTCCGTTGCTCGTCTGCCGCTGCTTTAGCCGCGGGGCCAGTTACTCCAGTATTCCGGAGCGTTGTTCCGGTAGCTGCTGTGCCAGTGTGCCTCCTGTTGCCCGTGTGTCTGCAGCTTCAGCCGTCGCCTCCTATCTCCTCTCCTCTCACTCTCTCTCCTCCTCCTCACTTGCCCGTTGTGACTACCACTAGCTTTGCTCATAATTGTGAACTTTAAACTATTGCTTCTTGAACTTGTGCTCAGAATGTGTGGTGACATTGTGATCCACCCTGAGCTTGTACTGCTTTGCTTGCTCTGCTGATTACACCCCACTTTGGCTATGGGGGTGTGTCAGAATGTTATCTTATGCTCTAGCCTGTAGTGGGGTGCTCTATAGCGAGCACAACCCTTCTAGGGTTTGCTATTTGTATCCTCATTCTTGCTAGTGCAGTCCTCTTCTCTCTTCTAACTTTCACACGACCACCAGCGCAGCATGGTCGACAGTCCGCTAGCATTGCGTAGAGACACCGCGCCAGTGCTGCAGAAGAGCGGCCTGCCAACGAAACAAGTCCACAGCTTGCCAACGCCCCACCAACCACGTTCTCTACCGTCGCGCACATGACAAGTCGGCCACGTGGCAACAGTTGCGCTAGGAGCTCCACGTCGACCTCGGGTTACCAGCTCGAGGTCGCCTTTGCCATCGCAGCCTCGTCGAAGAGGTTACCTGGTCGACCGGGTCAACCATCCAGCAACCTGGTCGGCAACCTCCCTCATCGACCACTGCGTCCGTTGAACACCGCGCTGGTCGACAGACTCCTCTATCGACCAACTCAGTCGGTCTCTGCCGTAGAACTCCCACCTTCGACGGCTGCGCACAAGTCCCGCGTGGGTCGACGAACTGCTTCGTCGACCTCCCTTGTCGAACTAGGCCGCCGGCTTCCCTTCGTCGGCGGCATCACAACGGTTCCCTGCTGGTCGACTTACTCCGTCGACCAGCACGCATCGAGCCCTTCAGATGGTTGGCCGCACGCGCACCTTTCGCGCACTCGACCACTACATCGGTTTTGGCCAAACGAGGGCGTGACCAGCACTCCATTCCCGTCAATATATACATGGCACAAACAACCCAATCACAAACATCGGGGCACAATCCTTTGATCGTCTTGAAAATTGGGGTATCAGAATCTCTTACCCTGATCCGTTATCCAACTCAAGCAAATGTTCACTTGATGTAGGAATGCTGATTTTCAACTTTCATTCTTATCAGGATGAAGAGGTAATACCTTCTTAACGCAGAATCCCATAGCGAGTGCACCCAACATCCAACGCTGCCAAGCATAACGGCCCAAAAACCCCTGATCTGCTTTGAGAGTTCTCCGCGCGTTATGCACTCCCTCCAGCTATCTCACCATTATAATCCACCCCTATCGTTCCTCAAGCGGCTCGCGAAACGCATTCGCGGCTTCCCTCATCCTCTCCGCATTCCGCGCTAAATCGCCAGTTTATCGCGCAACGGTGTAGTGGTAACCCGCATATCTTTTTCTTCCGCCAGTGCCGCCACCAATCGGCCTTCCGCCGCCAGCGCAAGCCGCCATGGAGGCGATCGTGACGCCGCCTCTGCGAGCCGCTGCGCCGAGAGCGTCGCTGCGCCAATGGCTTGGCGGTCGGCCGAGGCTGCGTGCGGCTGTCCGGTGCGGCAGTGCATCCTCAGCGTGTCCGCTCGTCAGGTTCGTCCCTCGTCCCCTCGCGCTCTCGCTCTCTCGCCTACTCGTCCACTCGCCCACTCTCCCGCTCCCTCATTCTCTCCCACTCTAATCTGCTCCTCTCGTGTATCGCGTCTCGCCACCCGCTCGCCTCTCAGCGCCGATCGAAGCGCCCACTCATCCCTTCCCCTTCCCCCCGCGTTCTCGCGTTGCAGGAGATTGCCACGTGCCGGATCCCCATTGCTGCGTGCGCCCTCTTCACAACGCGGCGGCGGCAGCAGCAGAAGCAGCAGGCGGCAGGCAGGAAAGGCGCGAGCGAGGGGGGAGGCGGAGGGGAGGGGGAGATACGAGCGGGCGGGGTATGCGAGCTACGGGGAGTGGGACCCGCGCGCGGGGACAGGCACGGAGGGGGAGGCGGAAGATGGGGAGGGAGAAGGGGAGGGCGAGATGAGCGCGGGAATGGGGGCGGGGGAGGTCGATGACAGGGGTTGGCGGACGGCGGAGGAGGTTCGGCGGGAGGTGGAGGCGCGGAGGCGCGCGGAGGCGGAGGCGGAGGCAGTGCGCGCAGCAGTGGAGGAGTATAGAGACGCGGAGGAGTTCCTTATAACGGATATAAAAGAATCCGCGAATCCAAACTACCTCGCGTCGCACCAGTCGTACCCCTCCCCCTTCATCTACATCCGCCCCGTCTGCTCGCGCCCCAACGAGGGCGAGCGCTTCCCCCGCGCGCGCAACCTGCTCGTGGGCGAGGCGAACGCGCTGGAGCGCGTGCGCGCACACATGGCGCGCGCGGAGGGGCGCGAGTACGTGCCTGCGGGCATGAGGGGTGGCGGAGAGGGAAGCGGGGGCGAGGACGAGGAGGATGAGTGGGGGAAGGGGGACGAAACGGAGGAGGAGCAAGAGGGAGAGGAGGGAGAGGACGAGGACGCGGGGGAGGGGGGGTTGGCGCGCAGCGGGGGGGGCGGGCGGTTTTGGGAGGAGGAGGAGGACGAGGCGTGGGAGGCGGAGAGCGCGGCGCTGAGGGGGCTGAGCGGGTGGGCGCGCATGCGAGCGGCGTGGGCGTTGGAGGACCGCGAGAGAGAGGCTGCTGCTGCTGCAGGGGGGAAGCAGCTGGGCGCTGACGGGCAGGGGTTGGCGCAGGAGAAGGGGGCTGCGGGGGGGGTGGGCGCGTGGGCGCGGGGGGAGGCGTTTGTGGGGGAGGTGGGGCCTCTGGAGGTGGTGGGGGAGGAGGAGGTGTGGTGGAACTGGCAGAAGAACGAAGGCGAGCAGCAGATCTGGACCGCCTGGCAGAAGGAGGCCGCCACCACCGATGCGGTGCGCTGCGGTGGGATGGGATGTGGGTGGTGTGGTGTGGGGTGGGGTGGGGTGGGGCGGGGTGTGCTTCGTGGCAGAATGGGGTGTGTGGGGTGTCTTGGGTGGGTGCTTACATGATGGGATGGGATGCCATGACGAGGCTGCCACCACAGATGCGGTGGGATGGGGTGTGGGTAGTGTGGTCTGGGGTGGGGTGTGGTGTGGTGTGGCGTGGCGTGGTGTGGTGTGGTGTGGTGTGTCGGTGGTGTAGAGTGGGGTGGGGTGTGGCCAGCATGCACTCACTGCTTCGCCACGTGGCGCCATTCTCACATGCGCATTCCTCCTTCCGGGTCTCCGTTTTCCCTCCCCCCCTTTCCCCAGACCATGTCGCTGGCAGCAGCAGCAGCAGATGACCAGGTCGTCTCCCTGCCCCTCTCTCTCTCTCCCCACCCTCTTCTCTCCCTCCCATCCCGCACCCCCCTCTTCCCCCCACTCACCTGCCCCTCCACCCTGCAGGCGATGGCACTGGCAGCAGCGGAGGCGGGGCACATCAGGGTGCGCTGCACAGTGAGGCATCCCTCTCTGTCTGCTGCCCTCCTCCCCTCCTCCGCGCCCTCATCCCCTCCCCCCCCCCCCCCCCCCCCCCCCCCCCCCGCCCCATCTCGCAGGCCATGGCGCTAGCAGCAGCGGAGGCGGGGCACATCAGGCTGCATGGTGACAAGCCCACCACGGCAGAGGCTGTGCTGGCTAGGGTGCGCCGCAAGCCACTTGCAGATGAGAGGTGCGGCACTGGGTGAGGGCGGAGGATACTGAAGAGGGGGTGGGTGGGGGGGGGGGGGGCTGGGGGTGGGGGTGGGTGAGGGTGGATGGATCATCAACCTTCACGGCGCCACTGCCACGCCCACCACAGCAGAAGCCGTGCTTTCTCGGGTGTGCCGCATGCTGCTGGTGGACGAAGAGGTGCGGTACTGTGAGATTGGGGGGAGTTGCGTGTGGTCATCAGGTAAAGGATCATTTTGTCGACTCAGAAGAGCCCGTGCGCGCCAGGGTGCCTCTCGCCTCGCTGGTGATAGAGAGATGCGGGCAGGGTGGGGTGGGGGCAAAAAAAGGAGGTAAGGTGAGGACGGAAGGGTACTCGGGTAAAAGAGAGAGGTGGGGCACTGTGAGGGCGGGAGGGTAGTGTGGAAGGTGAGGGTGGATGGACCAGCAGGTAGAATATTGATGAGTCGAGGAACTGGCAGACAAGAGGTGGGCTCTGGTGTGGGAGGCTGGAAGGATAGTTGGGGGGGAGGGAAAGGTGACGGGGGATGGGCAGTGAGGGAGAGGGGGCCATTGTGAAAGTGAAGCGGTAGGGCGGGTAGCGTAACAATTCATCCAGTTTGTTCCCATGTTGAGCCCTGCAGGCAGTTGTGCAGCTTCGGTGACTCGTGACTCGAGTGGGTGGGCGCCATGGCCTCATGACACTCCCCTGTGCACTCCCCCTCTCCCTTTGTGCGCCCACTCCACCAGACTGGCAAAGGAGGAGGAGCTGCGGCATCGCCTGGGCGGCCTGGCGTACTGCCAGGAGTGGGTGGCGGCATGGCCGCATGACACCCCTCTGTGCGCCCACCTGCCCCTTGTGCTCCCTCCCCCCGTTGTGCGCCCACCCCCACTTTGTGCGCACACCCCCACTTTGTGCGCACACCCCCACTTTGTGCGCACACCCCCACTTTGTGCGCCCACCCCCACTTTGTCCGCACACCCCCACTTTGTGCGCCCACCCCCACTTTGTGCGCACACCCCCACTTTGTGCGCCCACCCCCACTTTGTGCGCACACCCATGCGTTTTCCAGACTGGCAAAGGAGGAGGAGCTGCGGCAGCGACTGGGCGACCTGGCGTACTGCCAGGAGTGGGTGGCGGCATGGCCTCATGACACCCCTCTGTGCGCCCACACCCACCTGTGCACTCCCCCTCTCCCTCTGTGCGCCCACACCCACCTGTGCACTCCCCCTCTCCCTCTGTGCGCCCACACCCACCTGTGCACTCCCCCTCTCCCTCTGTGCGCCCACACCCACCTGTGCGCCCCTCATCTGCCCTCTCCACCAGACTGGCAAAAGAGGAGGAGCTGCGGCATCGCCTGGGCGATTTGGCGTACTACCAGGAGTGGGTGGCGGCATGGCCTCATGACACGTCGCTCAAGGCGGTGCGGCGCGTGGCGAGGGAGACAGGGCGGCCCATGGAGCACCAGATCCTCGACATGCTCGCCATGCAGGTGCGGTGGGAGGGGTGGGATGTGGTGGGGTGGGGTGGGTTGGGGTGGGGTGGGGTGGGTCCATGCAGGTGACATACGGGCCGGTCTATGGAGCACCAGATACTCGTCATGCAGGTGCGGTGCTGTCATGCAGGTGCGGTGCTGTCATGCAGTGCAGTGCAGGTGACATGCTCGCCATGCAGGATGGGTGGTATGTGCAGCACATGTGCGCATGGATGGGTGGTATGTGCAGCACATGTGCGCATGGATGGGTGGTATGTGCAGCACATGTGCGCATGGATGGGTGGTATGTGCAGCACATGTGCGCATGGATGGCTCTCATCCTCTCATCTTCAACTCTTCCACGCCACTCCTCCCTTTCTCTTCCACGCCACGCCCCCCCACCAGACCCAGCGCGAGTACAACGCCATGTGTGGGAGGGACGTGCGCCTGCAGAAGGACCCGCTCGCCATCCGCATGGACAAGAAGCAGTGCAAGCGCGGTGAGCAGCGGTGCAGTGCGGTGAGGGGAGGTGTGTGAACTGAGGGGCAGAGGTGAGCAGAAGGGTGAGATGCAGAAGGGTCCACTGGCTATCCGAATGGACAAGAAGCAGTGCAAGCACGGTGAGCAGCGGTGCAGCGCGGTGAGGTGCTGTGGAGTGCGGTGAGGGGCAGTTCAAGTAAGGTGAGTAGCAGAAGGGCAGTGGAAACCCCCTCCTCTCTCCCCACCTCTCTCACCTCCTCTCTCGCCTCCTCTCGCCCTTCCTCTCTCCTCTCCCCTCACCCCTCTCCCCTCTCCCCTTCCCTCCTCCTGTCCCCTCTTCCCCTCTTCCTTCCACTCGCTCTCCATGGTTGCCCCAATTGCACTCTCCATGGTTGCCCCAATTGCACTCTCCGTGCAGTGTGGGGTGGTGTACCGTGCAGTGTGGGGCGGTGACCCACTGTACCCTACAGACCAGCCTCCTACCGGATCTGCCTGCTGTGCTCTTCTCACTCACCGCCCCGCCCCACCTCCGTGCATGCAGTGTGGGGCGGCTTTCTAGTGTACCCAACAGTGAACTACGAGCAGCCACACCTTGTGGTGGATTACCCCACACGCCCGCATCGTCTGCCTCGTCTGCCCGCCCATGCTCGCTGTGCTCCCCTCCCTTACACACCATGCAGTGTGGGGCGGCGACCCAGTCTACCCAACAGTGAACTACGAGCAGGCGCCCGACCACGTGGTGGACTACCGCGGACCCAATTTCCACGAGCCCAGCGAGGACCCTTTCAATGTCGTGCGCCAGGTCAGCAGGAGATGGTCGTAGGGATGGGGGTGCAGGGATGGTCGTAGGGATGGGGGTGCAGGGATGGTCGTAGGGATGGGGGTGCAGGGATGGTCGTAGGGATGGGGGTGCAGGGATGGTCGTAGGGATGGGGGTGCAGGGATGGTCGTAGGGATGGGGGTGCAGGGAAGCGTGAGCCCAGCGAAGACCCCTTCAACGTCGTGCGCCAGGTGCGCTGCATGGTTGGCGGGGGGTAGAGGTAGGGAAGATGAGCAGGCGTGTGTGCAGGTGAGCCCAGCGAAGACCCCTTCAACGTTGTTCGCCAGGTCAGCAGCACGGCAGGGCTGGAGATGCAGGTGGGGGGGACGGGCAGGTGAGCCCAGCGAGGACCCCTTCACCGTCGTGCGCCAGGTGCACTGCTGTTGGGGCAGCACGTAGTTATGATGAGCACGTGGGAGTGCAGGTGGGAGTGCAGGTGGGAGTGCAGGTGGGCTCAGCCAGGACCGCTTCAACGTCATGCAGCACGTCAGCTGCACGGCTGGGGATGGAAACAGGAAAGGCAGCTTGGGGTACGGGCACGCTACGGTGTGGTGTGGTGGGACACTGTGTGCTCTGGGGGGGCTGCCCTTGTTCCTCCTGATAGAATTCAAGAGTAGTTGAATAATGAGCCATGGAGGCTCTATAGTACAAGCATGCAAGCAAGAGAGGGGTGAAGAAGGAGCAAACCCTATTGGCCACTAAGTTGGCCAATGGGGGAGATGCCTTGTGGAGTAGGTAACCCCACAATGTTGCTAGGTTGTGATTGGTAGGCCTTAGGACCAAAAGTTGGCAAGTGCCAACCAAGGACCAAGACCAAACCCAACCTTGACCAACCACAAAATGTGGTTGGAGTGTACACCCAACCCCCCAAGAACATAAAGAGCTACACCATTCTAGCCTATGTATGTTGTGTATAAGATACAGTTACAACACAACCCCCCAACAGGCATAAGGCTAGAAAATGGAATCAGGAGGCCGCCAAAACCGGAGGAGGGGTGAGGCCAAGGAGGCGCAGAAGGAAGGAGTGGGACGCCTGGGGAAGGGCTTTGGTGAAGATGTCAGCGAGGTTGGCCGCCGAGTCGATTTTGCCAAGGCGAAGATGGCCGGCCTCAACGAGTTCACGAATGAAGAAGTAGCGGAGCTCAATGTGTTTGGAGCGCCCATGATACACAGCATCCTTGGTGAGGTGGATGGTGCTAGCGTTGTCACACCAGATGGTGGGACAGCGTTGGGGGGCTCCAAGCTCATCAAGGAGGAAGGTGAGCCAGCGCGCCTCCTGCGCGGCCATGGTTGCAGCGTAGAGCTCTGCCTCGCAGGAGGAGAGGGCGACGGCAGAGGAGCGTGTGGACCGCCAGCTGATGAGGCCGCTGCCCAGAGAGAAGCCATAACCCTGAGAGGACCGCCGATCCGGTCGAGAGTCAGCCCAGGAAGAGTCGCTGCAGCCGTGGAGGAGGGGTGGGGAAGGGCCGCCAAGGGTAAGGACATAGTCCTTGGTGCCACGAATGTAGCGAAGAACGCGCTTGGCGGCCTGCCAGTGCTCCTCCGTATGCTTGCCAGCGCCAACGAAGCGAGCGAGGACGCTGATGGGGTAGGCAAGGTCAGGGCGAGTAGAGACCATGGCGTACATGAGAGAGCCGATGAGTTCAGGATAAGGATGGGAGGAGGGAGAGGGAGAGGAGGGTGGGGAGAGGTGGTGCCCGACCGAAAGGGGAGTGGGCTGGGGGTTACCGCGCGCCATTGCAAACCGTTCTAAGACCTGCTGGAGGTAGTGGCCCTGAGAGAGAGAGATGGTGCGGGCGGAGCGGTCGCGAGTGATGGTCATGCCGAGGTAGTGCTGCAGCTCTCCCAGGTCTTTGCACTTGCGACGGCTGCCCAGCTCCGTCTTGACAGTCTCGAGCTCGGCAGGATCGGCAGTGAGAAGAATCATATCGTCAACATAGACGAGGATGTAGAAGGGGGAGGGGGAGGTGCGGAGGAAGAGGCTAGCGTCGGAGCGGGAGGTGCGAAACCCAAGCTCGACAAGGGTGGCAGCAAGCTTGGCATGCCATTCCCTGGGAGCCTGGCGGAGCCCATACACTGGGCGGCGCAGCTGCCAGACAGAGTCAGCGGGGAAGGGGAGGTGGAAGCCCGCTGGGCGCTCCATGTAGATCAGTTCACGTAGTACGCCTTGCAGGAAGGCGTTGGAGACATCCATCGAGTGGATCTCCATGTTGAGGCGAGCGGCGAGGTCGAGGACGGCGCGAACGGTAGCAGGTTTGGCGGTGGGGGAGAAGGTGTCGAAGAAGTCAAAGCCATACCGCTGTGTGAAGCCCTTGGCGCAATACCGGGCCTTGTAGACGGGCGGTTCTCCTGGCAGCTGCTTGACGCGAAACACCCACTTCCCCTTGACCACGTTCGTAGAGGGGGGAGGGCGAGGCACATCAACGAAGGAGGAGTTGGCAATAAACGCCTCGAGCTCCTTGATGACGGCGGCGAGCCAGAGCGGGGCGTCGGGACAAGCCATGGCCTCCTCATACGTGGTTGGGATGAAGGTGGAGGGTGCGGAGGAAAAGGCGAAGACTGGTGTTCCAGAGAGGTCAGAGGCGATGGGAAGGAGGGAGGGGTCAGAGAGGTGGAGGTCAAGGAACTCCTCATGGGAGTCCTCAGAGAGGGAGGTGTGGAAGGCGCGGATGACCGCAGGTGCCGCTGCTGGTGCCACTGTTGGTGCCGCCGCTGCTGGTGCCGCTGCCGAGGCCGCCGCTGCCGCTGCACTCGCCGCTGCTGGTGCCGTTGCACTTGCCGCTGCTGGTGCCGCTGCACTTGCCGCTGCTGGTGCCGCTGCTGGTGCCGCTGCGGTGGCTGCTGCTGGAGCTGCTGCTGCTGCCGCTGCTGGAGAGGTAGTAGAGGGGGCGGGTGCATGAGGGGCTTGATGCAGGACAGCCTGGAAGAAGTGGTGAAGAAGGGGGGAAAGAGGGGGGAGGGTAGAGGTAGAGAGGGTAACAGGGGGCGGTGCACCAAGAATACCGTCGCATGACCTGGTGTGAGGATACCGGGTGAGTGTGGTGCGGGGAGGGGGGGAGGGAGGCGAGGGTTGGGAGGGAGGGGGAGGAGGGGCACCAGGGGAGGAGTGAGCGGGGGAGACACGGGAAGACAGGGGGTCCGGGTCAAAGATGTCACCGGACGAGGGAGGGGCACCGTGGGACTGGGGGGCGGTGGGGAAGGGGGTGGGAGGATGGGGGGAGGAGGGAGGAGAGGGGGAGGGGTGGTGTCAGACCAGACAAGGGGACGAGTCAGAGGTGGGAGTGGGTCAGTGGACGGAGGAGAGGAATAGTATGGGGTGGATTCGTCAAAGACGACATCCCTGCTGCGAATTAGTCGACCGGAGGGGGGGTGGAGGAAAAGATAGTCGGGGGAAGAGGGGTTATGACCAAGGAAGATGCAGGGAAGGGTACGAGGGGCAAGTTTTCCTAGGGAACGGGATCGGTCAGATGGGTGAATGAGGACATATGCCTTTGAGCCCCAGACCCGAAGAGGGGAGACATCGGGTTTGTCCTTTGTCCATAGCTCAGTGGGGGTGGTGGAGGGGAGGAGGGGGTGAGGGTAAAGGTTAGTAAGGAGGGCGGCATGAAGGAGGGCGTAGCCCCACAGAGAAGGGTGGCAGGAGGCGTGGACAAGGAGACACCGAGCCGTTTTGGTGATCTCCCGAACACGGCTCTCAGCGACACCGTTCTGCTGTGGGGAGTGAGGGAGGGTGTAAGTCTGAAGAATGCCGCGGGACTGGCAATAGGAGGAGATCTGGTTGTTAAGGAACTCACCACCACCATCAGAGTGGAGGCGGCGAACAGGGCGCCCAAAGTGGGTGTTTGCCTGTTCGAGCCAGGCAATGATCGCAGTCGGGGCGTCCGCCTTCGTCCGAAGGAGAGAGACGGACGAGTACCGACTGTGATCATCGACGAGCACGAGGAGGTAGCGATGGCCTTGGCGAGTGGGGGAGGGGTTAGGGCCCCAGAGGTCCATGTGAACAAGATCAAGTGGCTGGGCTGCAGCGGAGGGGGAGCTCCGGTGCGGCTGCTGCTTGAGCTTGCTCTTAACACAGACGACGCAAGGGGGGGCAGGGGACTTTGGGAGGGGAGGGAGGGAGGAGGGGAGACCGTGGAGGAGACCGGAGGATACAGAGGAGCGCAGAGTGGCGAAGTTGGGGTGACCTAGCCTGTGATGGAGGAGGATAGCAGGGTGGGAGAGGGAGCGACATGAGCAGTCAGAGTCGGGGGGGCGGGGGGGGGACGGGTGGGTTAGTGGGAGGGAGGGGAGGAGGGGGGGGGGAGGAGGGGGGGGGAGGCAACTTGGAAGGTGAAGGGGCGAGGAACCCGAAGGGTGTATAGACGGGAGCGGTGACAGTAGGGAATGCGGGCGAGGAAGCGACCTGTGGAGGTTTGGAAAAGGTCACAATGGTTAGCACCTCCTGGGGTGACAGTGGTGATCATGGATTGTTGGAGGGACCTTTGGGAGAGGAGGTTAGTGCGAAGGGAGGGAATGTGAAGACCTGTGACGGTACCTGAGGGAAAGAGAGGACAGGGAAGGGTGGACGTGTTGTGACAGGGGATGGAAAAGCTGCTGTCAGCGCCGAAGAGGGACGTGGGTGTGGGGAGAGAATGGAGTTTGCCAGCATCGCGAAAGACATTGTCAGTGGCTCCACTATCCAAGACGAACTCAAGGGTGGAGGAGGGTGAGGCGGAGTACTGAATGGAAGTTTCATTAGTAGCAGGGGCATACATAGGGGATGCAACAGAGGGAGGCTGACTAAGCAGACCAACAAAGCCAGAGGAGGGAAAGGGGGTCACACTACCACCCGTGGACGGCGCAGGGGAGGGACCGGAGAGGTGGGCCGCAGAGGCTGCATTCCCAGCAGTCCAGCCGGGAAACGGTTGCTGCTGGGGGACAGGAGGAGGTGGGAGGAGAGGAAGCTGGGGCTGCTGAAGCTGCTGCTGGAGCTGCTGAAGCTGCTGCCCGTACTGCTGCGGTCCCTGCTGCTGGACACTCTGCTGCTGCTGCTGCTGCTGCTGCTGCTGCTGCTGCTGAGAGGGGAGAGCAAAGGCCTGGTGGGCCTGGGAGGAGGAGGAAGGGGCGTAGAGGGGAGAGGTGCGAACGTAGAGGGGAGTGGGGCGGGGATTAAGGGCGGACCAGCGAGGAGGGGTGCCAGAGTTCCCACGAGCGAACCACTCATCTCTGAGTGCCTTGAAGCACGTCTCAGTTGCATGAGTGGTTTGGTTGCAGCGTTGGCCTCGGGTGGGGCCATAAAGGGGAAGATACTGACAGGGTGGGAAGGCCGCTGCTGCACCACGACCCGCACCACCACGACCGCCAGAGCCGCCTCAACCACCTCCACGCCCACCTCCACGCCCCCCTCCACGTCCGCCTTTGCCGCTGCGCTGCTGTGCTACCGCGGCAGTGGAGGAGGAGTGGCGAAGGATTTCTGCCTCGGTGGTGATAATCCACTGGGCAACTTGAGCGGGAGTGTCATGTTTGGAGAGGAGTTGCATGTAGGCCAGCTTGTGGGCATCGAAGGCAGGAGTGAGGCCTTCGAGGAGGTGGCAGCAGATGACGGTGTCAGGGTAGGTAACACCAAGTGCTGCAAGGCGGCGAGCAAGGTCAAGGACGCGGCGAGTAAAGGCGGCTGCGCCGGCAGTGGAATCCATGGTGATGGATCCAAATTCCTTGATGAGGGCATAGAGGGTGGCGATGTCCTGCCGGTCAAAGAGGTCAACAAGCAGCTGCCACAGGTGGGACGAGGAGGTGGGTGAGAGTTCTCGCTTGAGGGAGGAGGGGATAGTGGCGAGGAGGATGGCGAGAGCTCGACGGTCAGCAATGCGCCACGCAGCGATGTCGGAGGTGTAGTTAGCGAGGCGTGTAGTGTACGTGGTGAGTTGGGCGTGGTAGTCGCAGTGACGGGCAGCAGCCTCGTCGTAGGCGCGCTTGTCGTCCTCATAGCGCAGTTGACGGCGAAGGTGGTCGTTGAGTGTGTTGCGGTAGGCACGGATGGCAGTTTCCACGCTTTGAGGATTGTTGACATCCGGTGCGAAGGAGGGAGGATCACCAGGGGGCTCGGGCTCAGGTCCGGGCTCATCAGGAGGAGGTCCGGTGGGGGCAGAAGGGGCGATGGGCTGGAGTCCGCCTTCCTCCTGGAACACGACGGAGCGGAGTGTATAACCACTGACGATGACCGAGGAGAGCAACACCTCGACGGAGTGAGCATAGGAGTGCCAGTTGGCGGCCGAGTTGTCGCCGAGCAGCTCGAGGGCGTCAATGGTCGCTAGATCGACCGAGGAGTCGGATGACGCCATGACGGCGGAGGGGTGAAGGCGCCGCTGCTGCTGTTGGTATTGGTGCCGCCGCCGCTGCTGCCGCCGCCGATGCCGCTGCTGCTGCCGCCGCCGATGCCGCTGCTGCTGCCGCCGCCGATGCCGCTGCTGCTGCCGCCGCCGATGCCGCTGCTGCTGCCGCCGCCGATGCCGCTGCTGCTGCTGCTGCTGGTGCCGTTAGGGGTGGAGTAGGGGGAGGAGGTAGAGGGGAACAGAGGCTGGTGCGGAAGTGCGGGGAGGAATTAGGGTTTCGAGGTCGTGGAGATCGCGGGAAGGCGAACGCGACGGCGGGCAGATCAGCCGCGGCTGCGCGCCAGCCGTCCGCGTCGGCGCAGGGGCGTCGACGGTCGCGCGCTGGCCGTCCGCGGTGGCGCGCGGTTCGTTCGTGGCCGCGCGCTGGCAGTCCGCGTCAGCGCGCGGGTCGTCGGCGGGGCCGTGCTGGCCGTCCGCGTCAGCGCGCGGGTCGTCGGCGGGGCCGCGCTGGCCGTCCGCGTCAGCGCGCGGGTCGTCGGCGGGGCCGCGCTGGCCGTCCGCGTCAGCGCGCGGGTCGTCGGCGGGGCCGCGCTGGCCGTCCGCGGCAGCGCGCTGGTCGTCGGGGGTCGCGCGCTGGCCGTCCGCGGCGGTCGCAGGTCGTCCGCGTCGCTGCGCTGGTCGTCCGCGTCGGCGCGGAGGTCGTCCGCGTCGGCGCGGAGTTCGGACGCGTCGGCGGGCAGATGGAGGCGTGGCGGCGGGAGGAAGGATTGCTGCCACGGGGGAGCGGTTTGGGGCTGCGGGAGGGAGGATAGAGGCCGCGGGAGAGAGGATTGAGGCCGCGGAGGAGGAGATCTACGCCGCGGAACGCTAGATCTGAGGTGCGGGAGGCGGAACTGAGCCGCGGGAGGCTAGATCTGAGGAGCGGGTGGGCCGATGTAGGTCATAGTCCGCTAGGGTAAGGGAGCGGGGAGGGAATTACAACATGAGGATCGAGGGAAGGTGGCGTGAGCCATTTGGCTCTGAATACCATGATAGAATTCAAGAGTAGTTGAATAATGAGCCATGGAGGCTCTATAGTACAAGCATGCAAGCAAGAGAGGGGTGAAGAAGGAGCAAACCCTATTGGCCACTAAGTTGGCCAATGGGGGAGATGCCTTGTGGAGTAGGTAACCCCACAATGTTGCTAGGTTGTGATTGGTAGGCCTTAGGACCAAAAGTTGGCAAGTGCCAACCAAGGACCAAGACCAAACCCAACCTTGACCAACCACAAAATGTGGTTGGAGTGTACACCCAACCCCCCAAGAACATAAAGAGCTACACCATTCTAGCCTATGTATGTTGTGTATAAGATACAGTTACAACACCTCCGCCCCCCTGTCCCTCTCTCTTCTATGTCCCTCTCTCTTCTATGTCACTCCCTGCCACATGTCCTCACCACAGCAAGGCAGGGGGTTGGTGACGCAGCAAGGCAGGGGGGTGGTGACGCAGCAAGGCAGGGGGGTGGTGACGCAGCAAGGCAGGGGGGTGGTGACGCAGCAAGGCAGGGGGGTGGTGACGCAGCAGTAAAGGGAGGCCCTCATGCCATTCCAATCATCCAATGCTCCGTGGAAGGCCGTCCCTCCCTGTTGGCTGGGGAGCACATGTGGTCCGTGTTACCTCCCTTCCCCCTCTTCCCTCCCACTGTCTCGCCCATGGCAGCAAGGCAGGGTGGTGACCCGGGTGGGGAGCAGGCGGGGGTCGTCATGGCACTTAAAAGCGTCCCCCGACTTGAACCCCCCATTCCAATGTTCTCCCCTCTCCGCCTCTCTCTCTGCCCCACCCCGCGACAGCAAGGCAGGGTGGTGATGCAGGAGCAGATGGAGGCCATCATGGCACTTCAATGATTCCCCCTCTCCCCTGTCCCTCCCACTGTCTCCCTCGCTCCGCTCTCTTCCAACCCACCCCCCCCACAGCAAGGCAGGGTGGTGACGCAGGAGCAGATGGAGGCCATCATGGCACGCGAGCAGGAGGAGGAGGAGGCGGTGAGTGCTGTTTCCGTGCTGCCTCTGAGCTTTGAGTGGAACGGGGGGTGTGGGAGGAAGAGGGTGTGGTGTGCTGTTCCTGCCCAAATGTGTTTTTGCATATGCTATGCACCCGCGCGTCTGCCTGCTTGCATTGCACGCTTGTGTCTGTCGTCTTTCCACCAACACGCTTGTGTCTGTCGTCTTTCCACCAACCCGCTTGTGTCTGTCGTCTTTCCACCAACCCAGCAACCCCTCACTCCTCTGTTGACTCTACCTCCCCACCCCCCTGACCTCCCCACCCCCCTGACCTCCCCACCCCCCTGACCTCCCCACCCCCCTGACCTCCCCCTTCTCCGTTTTTTGTATTCTGTATTTTGTTGTTGTTGTGTCCGTGTCCTTGTCCTTGTCCTTGTCCTTGTCCTTGTCCTTGTCCTTGTCCTTGTCCTTGTCCTTGTCCTTGTCCTTGTCCTTGTCCTTGTCCTTGTCCTTGTCCTTGTCCTTGTCCTTGTCCTTGTCCTTGTCCTTGTCCTTGTCCTTGTCCCTGTCCCTGTCCCTGTCCCTGTCCCTGTCCCTGTCCCTGTCCCTGTCCCTGTCCCTGTCCCTGTCCCTGTCCCTGTCCCTGTCCCTGTCCTTGTCCTTGTCCTTGTCCTTGTCCTTGTCCTTGTCCTTGTCCTTGTCCTTGTCCTTGTCCTTGTCCTTGTCCTTGTCCTTGTCCTTGTCCTTGTCCTTGTCCTTGTCCTTGTCCTTGTCCTTGTCCCTGTCCCTGTCCCTGTCCCTGTCCCTGTCCCTGTCCCTGTCCCTGTCCTTGTCCTTGTCCTTGTCCTTGTCCTTGTCCTTGTCCTTGTCCTTGTCCTTGTCCTTGTCCTTGTCCTTGTCCTTGTCCTTGTCCTTGTCCTTGTCCTTGTCCTTGTCCTTGTCCTTGTCCCTGTCCCTGTCCTTGTTATGCACCTGGCTGGCTCACCATCAGTTCCTGCAAGAGCTGGAGGAGACTGGGGAAGACGCCGTTGACATTGGCGAGGAGGAGGAGGATGAAGAGGAGGAGGAAGAGGAAGAGGAAGAAGAGGAGGACGAGGAGGAAGAGGACGAGGTATGCTGAAGCTGACGCTTTTACACCTCAGGCAGATGGTAGATGGGTTGCAATCAACAAAAGCATGGATCGCTGGCGAAGGGTGTGAAATGAAGCAGGAATTGGTGTGAAAGGGGTTGATTTGAGTGGTTGTCGAGGAGGGATTGGTTTGAGTGACTGAGGAGGCGTTGGTTTTGTGTTCCGCTCTTGTCCAAAACCCTCACCTGTTGCCCCAGCAGACTCCTCATCCATGCATGTGTCCCATGATCTATCTCAATTCATCGCTCTGTGTCACCGGCTTTCTTTCCACCCCTTCCTGTCTCAATCCATCCTGTCCAAACCCCTTCTCCTTCCCCCTCAGATATCGGAGGACGAGGATTCGGACGAGGGCCAGCCAGCACAGGCGTCGTCGCACGGGCATGCGGTGCGGGAGGGGCGGGGGAGGCGGCCAGCGGAGATCCTGGAGGAGGACGAGCAGACGGGCATGCAGTGGGTGGCCGTGCCCACACGCATGGAGGGCACCCCGGGGCGACTTGCTTATGAGGAGGACAGTGAGGGGATGAGCGAGGAGGATGAGAGTGGGGATGCTGCTGCTGGTGCTGGTGGTGCTTCTAGAGGCGGCATTTAAACAATTTCCGTCTACTATTTTTGCTGTTTTGTTAGATTTCTTACAAACGAATTTATAATTGTTGAGGCGACTTTCAGCGTGTCCAACATCCTGCAACGTCGTACTGATACCGTATGCTCTGAGTGGCTTGGAGCAGGGCTGACGTTTCATTTTTGGCCTCCCTGATTCCGGGGAAAAATTTCTCCCTCTATTATGGGTGCACATTTTCCAGAAAAGCAGTACCCTGATTGCTCAGGGTTGTAAATGTTGGAAACAATGGAACTTAAACGCTTCAGCAGTGTCAAAACATTGCACCAGAAACGAGGCAACCTACACCGAAGCACCTGCGAGTCAACCCTCGGAGGTTGAATCGGCTGCAGGAAGTTACGCGAAAGTCAAAGGTCGCTGACCCTTGACCTGACAAAAACAGCGCATTGAGAAAGCTTGCTTTCTGTTCTTGCAATGGCAACATGCTTCATTAGAATTGCAGTAATTACAACATTCTCGTCCAACTAAGAATCATCCATGTACCGTATATAATCAGGGTGGGTGGGTGGGGAGTGGAACTACAAAGTTCCGAAATGAAGACGTGGGTGGAGGCCAAATGGCCTCCAACCCTCTCATATATTCGGCGAATGCTAATTCGCAGTTGCCTTGCTGCACTACAGTCAGCTGCGCTTTCACAATACGTATTTTTAGAAAGTGTTATACACTTTCAAAAAATTTCATATTGAGAAAGCTTGCTTTCTGTTCTTGCAATGGCAACATGCTTAATTAGAATTGGGTCATCTGAGACATGTGTGGTTGGGGGCGTTGAAGACGTGTCGTTGCAGTTGATGGCATCGACGAAGTGCTGAGAGGGGTGCCGTTGGTGGTTGCGATCGCCGTGTCAATGGGGTTCCGAATGTTGTGCATTGAGGTTGCTTGTCCCATCAGATGGTGGATGTCTTGGTTGTTGGTGCGGCATTAGAGTGTGGTTGAAACTGGTGGTAGTTGGTGTTTCGAGCGTGACTGAAGTGACCATGTCGCTGGATGTTGGTGCATATCAGCCCTCGGATCAAAGATTCCGACCGTCAGGATTCGACGACATCCGCAACGAATGCCGACGTTTCACTGTTGAGGATGCGAGCGAGCTAATGGATGGATAACCAAGCACGATAGCATGCGAGCGATTTCTATGTGACGAATTGAGCAGCAATTGCGTTTTTGTTGAAATTAGTTTTATTGTCAGGAGTTGTCTTTCATGTTCGCAAGTGCCCGCTAGAACACACAAGAGGACAAAGCTCCTGTTGAAGGATGTCAGCTAGCGCGCGATCATAATGAGGAATCGCAACTAGGGAAAGAGGTTTGTTAGGTTGGGATCGGTGTGGTCGGAGGCGTGAGAGCTGCGCTAGGAAGAGTAACGTATGAACGCTAGTCAAATAAATTACGGTAAGCGGTAGGAAAAAATCATCCATTGGCCTAGGAGTATCATGGCCAGTATCTTCGGTCGTTTGACTAGAGCTCGATTCATCCCTATGGTTCTTTATGTAGAGTACCGCATCGCAAGAATTTTTGTAACACGTACATAACAGCTCTTGGCGTGTCAAAATGATGTGAGAATCTGACCATCAACGGATTTGATCTACGCAAAATAAATGACCTTGATTAAATGACCGTGTGAGCACCTCCAACTACTCTATGGCCATGCGGGACCCAATAGTGTGCGTGCTTGCCAATGACCATGTGAATTATACTCAAATGGGAGAGAGTTTAGGCAATGTGCTTCCATGTTCACCGCATGGCGCATGCGTCCACGCATATATACGGTATTATAAAAGGTTGGACAGCTCTTTTTTATGATCAACACTGGAAGACGACTCTTCTCAGCAACCAAGCTCGTATAAAATATCTCCATTATAAGGCCACAATTAGTGTCCAATCAGCCTCCTGTCCTTAGGGGAACAACCCTTTGACCATCAGGGACCTTCTGCTCCTTTCCCCTTGTGAAATGGCATTCTGACCACTAACATGACCCTCGGTGTAGAATCTGGAACAAATCATAGCTTGTACGGTATTCGGCGCTTGAAATGTCAAATGTGCTGCACTTCAATTGGTTTGATGCTCCCGACTAACTACAGCGCGAGTGTCTGAACTTCATTTGGATATCGTAGTAGGGAAGCTCAGTCTGGCATGCGGGTTAGACGAGGACTTCATCTTTTTTTTTTTTTTTTTTTTTTGAAACGAAAAGTCAATCTTTAACTCCCAACGGCGCATCTTGTCCATACGATGCACATCCGGTAGATTTGTACCCAACATTTCTCAATCATTAATAAGCATGCACGTCGCTTGTCAAGCATGTACATGTATGATAGAACAAGTTGGATGTGTAGTGCACGATAGCGAACGCCTGATCCCTTCCGCGCTGCCCTAATGCAAAAGAAACAATGATTGGGGTTTGGTGTGTGCAACCAGTGAGGTTAAAAAGCCTTACTTAAACTCTACCAACCAAATATTTGTAATCAGATCACTCCATTTTTTTTTTTTTTTTTTTTAAAGACTCATACAGTTTTCCCGTTAATAAACACCTACGATAATATATCATATCCATACCAAAATCATGTAAAATATCTCAATATCTGGCCACAATGAGACCTACACAATTCATGCTAGCGTCCCGTCTTAGGGCAACGTCTCCCTGGCTGATTTTGGACTCTCTCTGTCCCCTTCCCCCCTGGGGAATGGCCCTCTGTCCAGCAACGGGACCCTTGGTCCCTGTCCCCCCTAGAACGGCCCTCTGGCCAGCAACGGGACCCTCGGTCCCTTTCCCCCCTGGGGAACGGCCCTCTGGCCAGCAACGGGACCCTCGGTCCCTGTCCCCCCTGGGGAACGGCCCTCTGGCCAGCAACGGGGCCCTCGGTCCCCTTCCCCCCTGGGGAACGGCCCTCTGGCCAGCAACGGGACCCTCGGTCCCTTTCCCCCCTGGGGAACGGCCCTCTGGCCAGCAACGGGACCCTCGGTCCCTTTCCCCCCTGGGGAACGGCCCTCTGGCCAGCAACGGGACCCTCGGTCCCTGTCCCCCCTGGGGAACGGCCCTCTGGCCAGCAACGGGACCCTCGGTCCCTTTCCCCCCTAGGGAAGGACCCTCTGGCCAGCAATGGGACCCTCGGTCCCTTTCCCGTCGTGGAAACGTCGTGGGTGTAAAAAATGGCCGTCTTTGCGATGGTGTAAACAATGGCGACCTTTTGCCCGAGCTATCGCCCCGCACTTCGTCCGCTACATCAAGAATGAAAGTCAAATGGAAGAAAAATAATATGATACATATGAGAAAACGTATTTTAGCACATACCTGTTTTAGCAATAGAAGCAGGTTTCGTCCTCGCAGGGGCGCCAGAGCTGTGGCAGTTTCATTTCTGGCGCGCCATAGGCGCTGTTGTCATCAGGCGTGCCCATGGCGCTTTCGTCCTGGGGTGCGCCAGTGGCGATTCGTCTTTGGGTGCGCCATTTCGTCCTGGTGCGCGCCAATGGCGATTTCGTCCTCGTGCGTGCCTCTGGCGATTTCGTCCTGGGGTGCGCGCCTGTGACGATTTCGTCTTGGGGTGCGCGCCAGCTGCGATTTCGTCTTGGGGTGCGCGCCTATGGCGATTTTTTCCTGGGGTGCGCGCCTGTGGCGATTTCGTCTTGGGGTGCGAGCCTATGGCGATTTCGTCCTGGGGCGCGCCCTTGTGGCGATTTCGTCTTGGGGTGCGATTCGTAATCAGGCGATAAGCTGGCGGCAATTTCGCCGCCATTTCTCCGCTTATCCCTGGATCGCGCGCTCCTGCTGCAAAAGGTTACCGGCGAGGGCGAGAGCATGTTTCCGTAGATGTTTGCGGGAGCTAGGAAAAACAGCACGATGCAAATGGAAAAAACGTCCCAGTAACTTAAAAACGTTCAATGTCATCACTACTAGTGTGAGAATAAGCGAACAGGAATGAATGAACTAGGAGTGAAATGAGTACAAGTAGGAAACCCTAGAATTGTGTACCCCCTATAGGCTAACCCACTGTAGCCTACACAAGCATAACATATATAATGTTTGACACACCCCCATAGGCAAAGTGGGGGAGAACAAGGGGTCACAAGACCAGTCAAGCAAAGCAAAGCAAGCTCAGGGTGGATCACAAAGTCACCACACAGTCCGAGCACAAGAGCAGGGCCAGAGGCCAGTTCACATGCAGGAGTACAGACATATATATAAAACTAGACAAGCAAGAGCAGGTATATATATATGTCACAGTACAAGTGAAGTCAAGAGGAGAGTAAGTGAGGCAAGACAGGCACAAGACCCAGCTGGGTGCAAAAGCGCTGATGGTCACAAGGCGCGAGTGCCTTGGTGAACACATCAGCAGTGTTGGCCTCAGAGGCCACGTACGCAAGTCGCAACTGACCACGCTGCTGCAACTCACGAGCAAGGAAGTAGCGGAGAGCAATGTGCTTCGTTCTGTGCTCCAAGCGCTGCTCTCGACACAAGGCCAGCATGGCCTTGTTGTCTACGTACAGCACTGGAGGAGAACGAGGCGGCTCTCCAAGGTCAGTCAGCAGGTAGGTGAGCCAGCGAAGCTCCTGTGCAGCCATGGCCCCGGCGTAGATCTCAGCCTCACAACTGGAGCCGAGAACCGAAGACGAGCGAGTAGACCACCACGAGACAGAGCCGGAACCAAGGCTGAAGGTGTAACCCTGTGACGACCGCTGCGTAGCCTGGTCGTCAGCCCAAGAAGCGTCCGCGTGGCCGGTAAGGACCACTGGACTCCGCCCTCCAAGCACAAGCCCCATGCCCGACGTACTGCACAGGTAGCGCAATACCCTCTTCGCTGCAGCCATGTGCTCTGGTCTGTGTCTCCCAGGAGCAACATAGCGTGCAAGAATGCTCAGAGGATATGCAAGGTCAGGTCGTGTGCAGGTCATCAGGTACATGAGGCAGCCAACAAGCTCTGCATACGGACCACTCGACTCTACGGACTCATCCGAAGGCAGAGCTGAGAGTGAGTGGCGAGTAGGCA